CATAGTCTACCAGGATGTACATAAACATTAAGAGAACTATAAGAAGGTTCTAAGCTCACTGGATGGACCCTCTTTGGTGGTTTTATGAGAGGGCATGGATAAAAGTCACATAGGATGAGCATCTTTGGAGGCAGTACCCACATTAAGGACATAACAGGTTCAATGACATCTTAGTAATAAATACCTAATTATCATATTGAACAGAACTGACACATTATTTATCCATTTCATGGATTTAGAACTGGAACTTCAGAAATCATTTAGTCCAACCCCCTCATTCTGCTTGTGAGGAAACTGAGACCCAGAGAAGACTCGTGAAGTGGCTGAGTCAGAATTTGAATCCAAGTCCTTCAGCAACAAATACAGCATTCACTCCATTGCGATTTGGGTGTGAGACAAGTATCTTTTTAGAAAGCTAACCTCCACTTTCCCTTATGACATCAGCACTATTTGGAATGGCTAGGGCTTTTTTGTTTCTTTCTTACACACTTGCTTCAAGCACTATACATGTAAAAACCTATATGCAGTCCTAGGACCCAGACTGCTGACCCTTGGGTATGGGATGTGAGATAAATACTCCTTAAGTAACTACTACTACTTACTGAGTTTCCTATTTTCACCCAAACTCATGATTCAGTCATTCAGCAAAAATGTGTTAAATGTTCAATCTATGCTTACTTCTTATGTTAAAAAGCATCCCTAAATTCCCGATTGGCAATTACCATCTATTTTTTTAAAGTAATCCAAGACCAAAAGGACTCTTCTCATTGCTGGAGATTGATGCATGACGGGCAAGGCAGGGCAGAGTTGGTGAGAATGGGAGAGAGGAGAGCTCCAGTGTCTTCAGGTCTGTAGTCTATTCCCTCCAGCTTGGAGAGGGAAGATATACCTGCCGAATCCCATTTGAGGTTGCTAAGGGAAAAGACTCTGGGAAGAAGTCTTTTCCTTCAGCAACTTGAAGTAGGGTTTGGCATCATCTATCTGTTTCAGGTTAGTACCAAGAAAGCTTTTCAACCTATGATTCACTCTAGTCCCATCCCCTGGTCTCTACCATTTTCTGAGATCTTCTGACTCAGGGGTGGGAAACCTGTGGCCTTGAGGTCTCATGTGGCCCTTTAGGACCTCAAGTACAGTCCTTTGACTGAATCCAAACTTGTGAAGGACCTGAGAACCCAGAGGTTCTCCACCCTTGAATTCATGCCTCTGCCTCCAGCCAGGACTATGTCTAATCTTGCCTCCAAAAGATGTTAACTTTTTTTTAAATCACCAGATATGATTTCAAATCTTCCTTGTAATTTGTCTCAAATGTTCCAGTGCTCTGAACACCAACATGAATGTGTTTGTGGAATTGCTTCAAACATCCCCCTGTCCTATCTCTAGTGGAAATGGAGAGCTTTATGATCCCAGAATCATAGACTCAGCAGGATGGGACCTTAAGAGATCTTCTAGTTCAACTCCTTTATTTTACAGATGAGGAAAATGAGTCCCAGAGAAGTTATGATTTGCTCAAGGACACACAGCTAGATAGTAGCAATCCAGTTCATTCTTCCTTTGTAGATTGAAGGACTTCCATTCCATTCTCATCTCAGTTTTCTGTAAACAAATACCTTAAGCAGTTCCTCAAAGATCTGGTCAACCCTTTCATCATTTTCTGATGCTCTTTCCTGTGTCTTAAATACTCTACGTATACCTAAAGTTGTGGACTACTGCAGTGATGCTATTTTTAGGTAGATTATAAATAAAGTTTCATTTCCTGAGACAGAAAAAATTAAAATATAAATAAAGTTTCATTTCCTGAGACAGAAAAAATTAAAAATTGCATGGGATAATGTACTGGGTGATATTAAATGGTATCAAACTTTATTAGACCCAACTGCCTTTTCAGGTATGCCATGTCAGATGGGGCAATTGGAGTTCCTACATAAATGTGGACCATTGCCCTGTCTTTGGCCTTTGATAGATCATTGGATTTGGCAGTCCAAAGAGCTAGGTTGGAATCCTTGTTCTGCTAATTATTAGCTGTGTGATTTTGGGCAAATCACTTAACAGCTTTAGACTTCCTTTCTTCATTTTTGAAATGGGGTAATTAAGCTTGACTTGCCCATCTCAAAAGACTGTTATAAAGATCAGGTGGGATAAACTATTATCATTACTGGCCTCATCAAACTCTATTACAATCCTCAAATCTTTATTTTCAGGACCCCTCCCTTCTACATCTACAGCTGCCTTTAGGATATCTCTACCAGGATATTCTACCAGCATCTCAAACATCCCTAATGGCTTATTTCATTTCCCACTAAAGCTGTTCCTCCTCCTCACTATACTACTTCTATACTATAAATACACCACCAGCACCCAGATTCTCTTATCTACAAAATTGGGGTTATTTTTGACTTTTTCTTTCTTACCACCAGTATCCAATCGACTATCAAGGACAACTTGTAACATCTCCCACATTCATCTGCATCTCTGTTCCCACTGTCAGCTCCTTAGCGTAGGCCTTCATTGTACCACTCTCCTAGACTTCTTAAGAGCCCCTTGAGAGCTCTACCATTCTTCACTCTCTCCTGCTTCCTTCTGGAGGAATTTATCTCATGTATATATCTGGCCATGCTACTCCTTAGCTCACAAACTGCTGTTTAACTAGGAAGGGGTTCGCATTTGCATGAGAGCAGGTTAAAGAGGAAGTGGATGTGTGTCTGGACCTGCTATGGTTGCAAAGAATGCTGGCTGCTGAAAGCTAAATTAGTGTGAGGCCTATCCCTTGGGGAGGAAGGGGCTGATGGCTGATGTGAGTAACAACTTGGACTTTAAAAAACAAAAGTATTATCTGCTACCACCAAGTTCTGAAAGGTTCAGTTCATTTGTTTATTTCTGGTGATAAGATGCTTATCTAACAGCAACGTGCTGATTGTAACCATAGAAAAAGAACCTGGTTCCATTGTTTGAAGAATTTAATTTTGCAGAGGCTTCATCATGTACCATCATGATGTCATACCAAATGAGACCAGGCCAGCAAACAACTTCAACAAGTTATTAGTGAGAAGACCATCTAGGTGGCTTGGGAAGGTTGGATTTGCAGCCAAAAACTTGACTTTTAGCCCTGCCTCAGCAAGTCACTTAATTTCTCTTAGCTTGTTTCCCCATCTGCAAAATACATGTAATAACAGCACTTCCCTCCCAGAGCTGTTGTCAGCATCAAATGAGATAAGACATATAAAGTGATTTGTAAACCTTCAAGTAAATGCATGCTGTTGTTGTTAACGTATGTAAGGTAACAGGGTGAGTATAGATAATTTAGCATAGTTACTTTAGAACTCAAAATGTTGGTGGGAAAACTGGTTTGAGCACTAAGATTCTGGTGCCCATTTCCAGATTTATTTTCTGCCAAAAGTTTTTCTTCCTAATTATAGGTATATATGCAATAAGGAGCCATTCCTATATTCCTCACTTACTGCCAAATTCCCACACCTCAATCTCAAACCTAAAGCATATAAAGAAGTGGAAGATTGAGGCCATGGAGTATATTAAATATTATATTCTTAATACCCCATTTCAGAAACTTGTAAAATGTTCTAGACCTACTTCAAGAGTTCACAAATATGCATGTATGTAGGCATGGTTCTGGAGACAGACAGTCTGTGGGTAGCATTAGCTGAAAACATTATTACCCAACAGTTAGGTACCTTAAGAAAACTGGCCTGCACAGGACTGCATACCACAGACCTCCAGCCTCTGGGCTGTGGTGATGCAGTGGGAAAAGAGTCAGAAGACCTGGGTTTGAACAGCTCTCTAGGCCTCAGTTTCCTCATCTATAAAATGTGGGGCCTGGATGTTTGGGGCTCATCCTGCTTTAAATCCAGTGATTTTATGACTCCTCAGGAGAAAAACTGGCACTGAATGGGCTGCTTCAACAATTCAGAATAGGCTTTCTGGCCTAATGGCAAACAGCAAGTCATAGCACTCACTCTGAACTCTCTTCCAGCCAAGGACCGCCATGCTAGGCCTGCTCACTGAGATTACATTCTGCCCTAATGTGCACTCAACCCCTCTGCCTCTTCTACTGGGTGTCTCTCGTGGTTTCAAAAGAAAAATGAGACTTCTCCAACAAAGCTCAAGGAAAAAGTGCCTCTCTGTCCCATTGGCCTAAAGATCATTTGCATTCAGCTTCATATGGGGCTCTTTTGATTCCTATCAGTGACTTACAGATTCTTCAGAAGTAGGCAACACACAGACCAAATCTGGAAAACAAATCATGAGAATATGGGGATAGCTTTTTACATTCCTGTTTGTTTGAATTTTTTTTTTATTTTTCTTTAGAAAAAAAAACACAGGGGGAATTTACATGGCAAACCATCAGTACTGGGTATCAGAGTAAGAAGAATGAGAATGAATGGAAAACTAATAAAAAGCAGACCACAGGGAAGAGTCCAAGAGGTTCATGCCCAGGATCCTTAGGCATCCCAATACTATCTATGCCAGGTTTTCCAGGCTGCCTTCTCTAAAATGGATGGTCACAGAAAGTTGGCCACGCTCTAGAAATATGCCAACAATAAAAGTACTTGACAGAAATACACTTAATACAGTTCCTCTGTTTTATGCACAGGCTATTTATATTTAACTTTTTCTTTCATAAGAAGAAAAAGTCCAATGGAGTGCAAGAGTCACCACTGCAATTACAATTGAACACCAGAGTAAGGAACTCTAGGCAGCTGGAAAGCCTGGATGTAGGACATGATCTTCATCATCAAAACAAGTTCTGATTAGCCTGACCTCAGTTCATTCCAGGCTGAAGGGATGCCCGATGCTGGAACAGGCTGACATTCCTCTTGCAACCAAACACCCAGTAGAGCTGGACACTCCCCAAATCCTTTGCTCTGAACTACCCACGCCTTGGGCAGTGAAAAGGCAGACAGGCAGGCAATCTGAATGTTTCCTTTTTAGGTCAGTATCTGGACACTGATTTCAAAGGCGCCCATATATTAAAGATAATAGCTTGGTAATCCACTCTGAAAGCTGCCTTTATTATCTTCCTGACAAGTTGGGCTGTAAGGAAGAAACTCTTGAGTTTTCCCCACTCCATACTTTGGATTTCTGGATACTAAATTCAGCCAGAGCCAAAGATGTGTGTGTGTGGCCAGCAGTGGCCAAAAGTAAGGGGCAGGGCAAGAAAGAACCAGTTGTACAATGCAAAACTAGTGGTACATTCAAGAAGGGGTGAAGAGTGGGCATGCGGCAAGCTGTAGTGCCTCCACCCCAAGCTGTAGTTCCAGTAACCATGTCAGCTCCTTCATTGACCTGGCCTCCAAGGTAGTTCTGAAGCCTCACTTTACGGCCCCCCATTGGTTTCAGTTCCTACGTGTAAAGTGGTGGTGGTGGGGTCTTGTGGCCTTCTGATGTCATTGTTCCTGATGTGAGGCAGGGCTCAACATCACTGAGTCATGAGGAGCACCATGATGACCAGGTCCCTGCAGCTGCTTAGTCCTTGGCACCCCACGAGGAAGGCAGAATATCTTGTCTCACCTAATAATAACTCCACCTCCTCAAAATAGGTGAAACAATGACAGAGAGGGTGGAAGGGTGGGTTTGGATGTGAAAGATTCTAGGAGGAAGGAAGGTGGGCTTACAAGGGGATCAGGCCTGAAATACTGTTGAGGCCAAAGGGACCAGAATAAAAATCTGAAAAATTACAACTTTCTTGTCCCTCCTTAAAAAGATAGTTTCCCACTCCCCCCTTAAAAATCACCACATTTTCAAAGGTGAAAGGTAGAGAGACTTGGTCCAGCAGGCTCTCATTCTCCTAAGAGGCAGGCTCCCATCAGGCCCTTCACTGATTCTGTTCTTATCTGCTCAGCTCCTGCCACCTCTGCACCAAGGGGTACACAGAGAGAGAGAGAGAGACTCCTGTGATTTCTACCAGTGTCTCACCTTCCCCACCAAATGCAGCCAAGAAGGAGGAGGAAACCCAAAGACTAAAGTGCAAAGATTTCCATCATAGTGTGCATCACGGATTGGGGGGGATCAAAAGAAGGAACAGGTTTGGGTGGATTGACAGATACAGTTGTTCCCAAAGCTATAGCCGTGGGGTGGGAAAAAAGTATCTGTACCAAGCAAGTCGGCAGAATGCATTCACCTTTGCCCAGGGGCCATTGAACACATATCTCTTTTCACAGACATGGCCAAATCTACCTAGGAGGGGCAAATGCTCTGAGCCACATGAGGAATATCTGAGTCCTAAAAACATGACCCAAAAAGAGAGAAAACTGGCACGATCACCCCAGTGGTAGTGGCTATGGTGAGTAGAGAAGACCTGGAGTTGGAGGGGGAGGGGAGAGAAAGAGGACAAGATTTTAAATGAATGCATTTCTTTTTTCAATAGAAGAGACTGATGAAAAGTCTTCGATGTAGTATCTCTCATTTAGAGGAGTTGGTGGAGACTCTCAGACATCAGAACTAAGTGCTATAAGAAGGGAGCTCCTCTGCTTATAGGGGGAGTAAAGATAATGGGGTCAGGGGAATAGGGCACCGGAGAGAGAAGCCCAGCCAACCGCATTATGGCGTGTAGGCAGGGGGTGGTTGGAACTGATTGATGACCTCATACTCGGCTGGATATGGCTCATTCTCTTCCATCTCTGATAGCAGCTCCAGTGCCTGCTCCTCTTCTTCAGTGGGATAATGGCGTAGAAGGTTGGCAGCGGTGGCCAGGATGGAGGCCCCTCCTGCTCCTGCCACCAAGTAGAAGCTGACAGCAAAGGTGACATAGACCTGGGAACCATGGTACTTCTTGTGCTGCTGCTGCTGAGCCAGGATGAGCTCTGAAGCCCAATAGCAAAAGCCAATCACTGTGGCACACTGAAGGACTAGACAGGAAGAGAAAGAAAAAGTGACAGTTAATGCTTCTCCTGGAGCCCTTAGCCCCTGAGATCTGAGCTGCTGACTAACGACACTATGCTGTGAGAAGACAGTGCAGTATGGGACTTGGTGGTCAGGACTGGCATTCCCTCATGAAGAGGAGGGGTAGTGGGTGTGGAAAGCCAGTTAGTCACTACAGGCACCATTCAGTGTGCAGGAACATTTCTTTGCTCAGTTTTTGTTAGCTCTTTGGTCCTCTCTCCTGCCAGGCAAAAGGATTACCTGTAAGGATGTGGGCAAAGGCATAGCGGCGGGTGATCTTCAGAGCGGGGTGCTTGGGCCCAAATACATCAAGAAGAAAGGCAGAGAGGCTGCACAGGATCCCCAAGAAGCAAAAGGCAGCAATGACACGCAGTAGTAGCACCGTTTGGGGATTCATGCAGAAATCTGTTTGGGGAAAAAAGTGATATGAGAATCAGACCCTCATCTCTAGGCTCCTTCCTCAACTTCCCCATGGAGACTTTCAAGGTTGTTTTTCTTTGTGATGTAGTTATCGTATTGGCTGTCCCCCATGCCTGGCATGCTCACCCTCCTTTTCTCTACTGCCTGGCTTCCTTTAAGTCTCAGTTAAAATCCCACCTTCTACAAGAATTCTTAATTCTGGTGCCTTCCCTCTGTTGATTATTTCCAATTTATCTGGAATATAGTTCGTCTGTACATTACTGTTTTCATGTTATCTCCCCCATTAGATTGTAAGCTTCTTGTGGGCAGGTACTGTCTTTTGCCTTTCTTTGTATTCCCTGTGCTTATTACAGTGCCTGGCACATAGTAGTTGCTTAACACACATTTACTGACTCACTGAATTGAAATAATTTTCCTGGTTCTGCTTACTTCATCTGTATCAATTCATACAAGTCTTTCCAGGTTTCTCTGGAACTATCCCTTTTGTTATTTCTTACATCATGATAACCTGACAGCTGTGAGGCAGCTTAGATTTCTTCCTTCTGTTCATTCTTTGTCCATCAACTCTTCCTTTTACACATGAAGAAACTGAGGCAGTGACTTACCCAAAGTTGTGCACGTAGGTAGTAAGTGGCAGAGCTTATAGACACGTACAAGTATATAAAGTTAACTTCAAGAGGAAGAGAGTGAAAACAGTGGGAAGCTCCCTCTACCCTGTCCCTGCCTATGCTCTCCTCCTCTGAGAACCTCCATGAACCTCCACTTTAAGGATGCCCAGGCTGGCCAGGTCTTCAGTGCTTTCCAGGCTGTACCCCTGACTCTCTAGGCTTTCTCTCCAATGCCTCTGGGCTGGTACCTTCATCTTCTCTGGAGGGCAGGGGCTGGCTTTTCAGCTTATATTTGTATTCCCAGTGCTCAGTACAGTGCCTAGCACACAGGAAGTGCTTACTAAATCCTTGCTGACTTGACTTAACACACCTGAGCTGGGCTTTGAGCCAGGCATTCTACAGGGAGGAGGTGGGAAAGGGAAGACACAACATGAAGGACCCCCTGTGCAAAGGCAGAGGTTGGAGATGGAATGTCATCAATAATGGACACTAGCTGGACAGATTGGGTGGAATGGAGAATACAGGACAGAAAGCAAAACAAGGCAAGACTGAAAAGGCAGACAGAAGCCTGACAGTAGAGAGCTTGAAATGCCAGCCTGAAGGCTTTTTAATTTTATCCTTGATAACAGTGAGTCAGATTGGTTTGGGAATAATCAATTTGAATTGTTCTAACTGTCTCTCATCTCACTCTCATATGATAGCCCTTCAGGAGCTTGGAGCTATTATTTTATTACTTCTAAATCTTCTTTCCTCCAAGCTAATCAGAAAGAACTCTGCCCCAGGCTGTGGTCCAAATGAGAGCCCCTCAGGCTCCGCCCAGGATACATTGAGGACAAAGGTCAATTAATATCAACCAGAAACCAAAGTTTCTAACAACTACTTGTCTTTCTAATACGCCTCGTCTAAATATTCCAGTGGAGAATCTTTAAAGTAAAAAGCAGTCCAAGCCTCCACAACCTGAAATACAGGTTATCTTTTCAGATGAGGAGATTCTACTACAAGTGGACACCACCCAGCAGATGCAGCAATGGGGTCCTCCCCAAATCAGCAAATCCTTTCACTCCAATTAAAGATCCAGCTGTGACTTTTCTTTCAGGCAACAGATGTATTCTTGAAAAGTTGTGTGAAATTCACACAATTCACATTTGTAAAGTGAATCCATTTTCCAAATAACTTACTCTATAACTTACAGAAATGGATTTTTTAAAATGGCAACAATCTTTATCAGTGGCTCTTAATGCTTGAGTTAAGTTTTATTGTTCATTCTCTGTCAAATAATTAATAATAATTAGAAAGAAGATAGGGGTAAGATCTAAGAGTAGTAGGAAAGCATCAGAACCTCTGGTTAAAATTCCTACCCTTCTTATATGTGACTAGTTACTTATGAATAGATCTAGTTTGTAAATTCAAATTTTGAATTAACTTTTCTTAAAGCAGGACACTTCTCATGGACCAAATGTGAGGTTGGCCAGCTTCTTGTAAACTAAGAATGCTTTTCTGTTGCAACTATGCCCAAAGGGCTATAAAAATGTGCATACCCTTTGACCCAGCAATAGCACTTCTAGGGCTGTATCCCAAGGAGATCATACAACTGGGGAAAGAGCCCACATGTACAAAACTATTTATAGCAACTCTTTTTGTGATGGCAAAGAATTGGAAATTGAGAGGATGCCCATCAATTGGGGGATGGCTGAACAAGTTGTGGTATACGAATGTAATGAAATACTATTGTGCTATAAGAAATGATGAGCAGGCAGACTTCAGAAAAACCTGGAAAGACCTGTATGGTCTGATGCAGAGTGAAGTGAGCAGAACCAGAAGAACACTGTACAAAGTAACAACCACATTGTATGATAACTAACATTGATAGACTTAGCCCTTCTTAGCAATACAAGGATCTAAGACATCTCCAAAGGTCTCATGATGGAAAATACTATCCACATCCAAAGAACGAACTATGGAGTTTGAATGCAGATCGAAGCATATTATTTGCTATTTTTTTCCTTCTGTTGTGTTTTGTTTCCTCTTTCTGGTGGTTCCTCCTATTGGTTCTAATTCTTACTTACAACATCACTAATGTGAAAATATATTTAATAGGAATGTATATTTATAGCACATATCAGATTGCACGTAATCTTGGGGAAGGAAGTGAGGAGGGAGGGGGAGAAAAATTTAAAACTCAAAAGCTTATGGAAGTGATTGCTGATAAATCAAAATAAATTAATAAAAAAGAATGGTTTTCTGCATTTAAATGAAGTTTTACAGTATTTAAAAATATTAAAAAAAACCCCCAAAACCCAAACCCCAAACCATTTTGTTTCAGCTGTACGAAAACAGGCAGCAGGCCAGAGTTGGTCCTCAGGCTAAAGTCTGCTGACTACTTTTTACAGCATCATTTCCATATTATGAGCCAGTTCTAAGAGGCTGGCTTAACCTGGAGTGGTTACACTTTAATCCAGCTGGAAGCAGCTAGGTGGCATAGTTGAATCCAGCTTCAGATGCTTACTAGCTGTGTGACCCCGAGCAAATCATTTAACCTCTGCCTCAGTTTCCTCATCTATAAAATGAGGACAATAACAGCACCTCCCTCCCAGGGCTGCTGTGACGATCAAATGAGATAACAATAATTGTCAAGTGCTCAGCAGTGTCTGTCACACAGGAAGTGCTATATTGTGGTTAGCATGAGCTTCTATCATGGTGACCACATTTCAGATTCCAAAAGGAGAACGAACTTTTGTACAGAGTTGTAGGAGAGAGACATGGTCAGCCCTGCACTTTGGGAAAATTACTTTGGCAGCTGATTGGGGGATGGAGTGAAGGGTCATGAGATCTGGGGCACAAGAGATGAACCAGAAGGTTATAGTACTAGTGCAGGCATGTGGTGATAAAGACCTGGACGCCAGGGTGGTGGCAGTGTTAGAGGAAAGAAAGGGGTATACAGGAGAGATTTTAAGAAGGTAGCAATGACAGAAGTTGACAACTGATTGGATGGGGTGGGATGTGATAGTGAGGGGCTGAAGAGAACACTTATGTTTTAATTCTGAGTAACTGGAAAGACAGTGGTTCCCTTGACAGTAAAAGGGAAGCTCAAGAGAAGGGAAATACTTTGGTGGGAAAGCCCTTAAGTTCTGTTTTGAACATGTTGGGTTTAAGACACCTATGGGACATGTAGTTTGAAATGACTAACAGGCAATTGATGATACAGGACTGGAGCTCAGGAAAGAGGCTAGGGCTGGATAAATAGACTTGCAGAGAAATCATCACTAAGCCCATGGGAGCTGATGAGGTCACCAAATGAGAGGCTAGGGAGAAAAGAGAAGAGGACCCAGAACACACCCTTTGGAGATGCTACACCTTAGTAAGTGTAACATGAAGATCGAGCAAAAAGATATCAGAGTCCCAAAAATCCAGAGAGGAGAGGCTATTCAGAAGACACTGATCATGCACAGAGTCAAATGATGCCAAGGTCAAGATGGATAAATACTAAACAGAGGCAATTAGATTTAATAATTTAGAAATCACTGGTAACTTTGAAAAGAGTAGTTTCAGTTGAACAATGATATTGGAAGCCAAACTGCAAAGGGTTTCAAAGAGAATGACGAGAGGAAGTGGAGGCACCAATTATGTAGCTTTCTCAAGTTTAGCCACAAAGGGAAGAGACATATAGAATTACAGTTGGCAGGCATGGTAGGATCTAGTAAGAGTTTTTCAAGGATGGGAAAGCTCTGGGCATGTTTCTAGGTGGCAGCGAAAGAGCCAGTAGATAGGGGAAACCGATGATTAGAGAAAAGAACAGGGATAATGGTGGGAGCTGGAGAATACAGTAAGGGATGGAATCAAGGGTGCAGGTAGAGGGATTGACTTGGCAAGCAGAAGGGCCACCTCTGCATCAAAGGCTGGAGTGAAAAAGGAGACAGTGGAGAACCCCATCAGAGGGAGAAGAGGGAAAGGAGAAGAGGGTTGCCTTGGTGAATCGTCCTGATTCTTTTGGTAAAGTCTGAGGTGAGGACCTCAGCAGAGATGAGAGAGAAGAGGGAGTGGTATGAGAAGTTTGAGGAGAGAAAATATGTTTGGAATAACCACTGTGGTGAGTAGAACAGGGAAACATCTAAGGAAGAGGAAAAGCTGGCTCTCTAACTTGAGGGCCCAGTTGAGATTAGCTAGCATAAATTTATAGTGGACCCAGTTAGCACAGTTTCTAAATTTCCTCTAGCTCTGAGCAGCAGCCAATGAATAGATACAGAAGACACAGACAATGGGAGTAAGTAATCCAAGGTTCAGGTCTGAGAGCAATTGGCAAAAGAACAAGGGAGCTAGGGATGCAAGAGCAGAGGATAAGGTTAAACTGGTTTGCTAAGGGGTCCAGATTGGGAAGGG